AATATACGTTCCCTTTTAGACTGCTCTCTGTGCCCACCCATTAAAGCAACAGTCCAGGCAGGGTTTCAACTACTTGGTCATTAGGCGGTCAAAACATGCCCCAGCCCAACTAAAGTTTATAGGAAATGTCTTTAATTTCAAAACCTACCTCTAAAATGCGCTGGAAGGGGTCGAAGTCCTCTTGGAGGGGGCGGATCACCCATAAAGAGGCGGATCGCCCAACATTCGCTGTGCAGAGCGCTTGCTCGACTAGCGGTCGTTGCGGGACCGCCGCGCTGTATGAGGTCGATTCCATAAGAACCCAATTGAAGCGCTTCAATTTCGATTGCTGGCAAATAGTTATGTATTTGCAAGCATGCATGGCTATTTGCCAGCAGTCAACTGGAGCGCATGTACTACGGGCAGGTTCGGACAACTCGTCCAACACACATCTCCCTAAACGGCCGGGGGAGTCCCTGTCTAAGCCCCTGCCCGACGTTTTTTTCTACTTTTTCTATCTCCATTGACCAACTTCTCACCTGCAACGTCATTATAGGTGGTCCTTACCCGCGAATTCGTTCCTGGATTGGTTCTCTTAACCGTAAACCATCTACTGTTTGTCTCAAGCAAACCCGAGCTTCACTTTTCTGTGATAAGCGCTTCAACGTGACTGCGAAGTACGTGAAGTCAGAAAGGGAGAAAGCAACGCCAAGTCGTCGAATACGCTAAAATTGAGAACTTAACTTAATAAAAATAACTTAAAGCGGTAGGATATGTGTACGGACGAAGAAACAGCTATCGAACACGGCCACTGTATCACGCAATGAGAGCACGCCGATCTCTATAATACGGGAGTGGAGCTTTGATAGATGAAGCCTAACGCTGTGCGGCTGCGCCTTAACCGCGTACTTTTTGTGACGAAGGTGATACGATCTCTCTAGGTACGGATTCAAACAAAATTACTCGCGGCATGGGTTCTGCTAGCCACCCTCATCCCAAAGTTTGCCCCAAAATTCCAGGCGTGGAACTGACACTATGTTATGTGACAGTTCTACAACGGGAAGCTGAGCGAATGTCAGCACTCTCAGCATCTAGGACTGCATTTTTTGTACTTTTCGTAAGGGCTGGGTCTCAAGTCATCGATTTGTAGTGTACATAAAGTCATATGGTTTCCGTACACCATTCCTTTGACTACGTCCCCCGACAATCGGGGGTACCAGACAGGAGGCTCCGTCGCGCGGCAAGAAGGCCGTATCAGCGGACGGGTCGCAGCGCGTCAGTCAATAAAGAGACCATGATCGTAATCGTTAATATGTTTAGGTGGCTATAAAGGCACTGGTCTCTGCATGATGGTGGAAGTGCTGTGTGGCATCATGGCTGGATCATCGTTCGGAAAATCGATTCGAAAATGGCAGACAACTGAAGAGACAGCCAATTTGGTAAGGAGAAGACCGGCTTTGAGAAGCTGTCACTCTACCGTTCATAAGTTAAAAATGATTTTGCCTGTAGGGACAATGCTTCGTCGCAATTGATCCAGAATGCTTTGCGCCGGGATTCAGTGAACGGCTCAGTTGTTTTCTGGATGAGACAAGGGATCTCAAACCGGTATGCATTCCAGAGCGTATGACTATTTCAATTAGATTATTAGGTTTGATAAGCTATTTAGAATACTTCTGAAAATCAGCCGTTTATGTTAAATCGATTTTGTTCAATCACACGAAATAGAGCGTTGTAGCAGACCATTGGTAGATGAATACATCAGACGCGCGCGGTTGCATAGCGATTGGAACTGGTGAAAAGCCAGCAGAAGCGTTCATTCATGCGTGCATGACCCAATATTGAATATTCAGAAGTACAATTCATTTGAATAATCTTTCCGGTGAATGAGGTGCAATGACCAGGTCCCTTACCGTGAAAATACTGCAATTATACCAGCCCGAAACTCGAGGTAAGGGCTCTAGGGGTTTCTGTACCATACCTCACCTCATCAATCTACCGGCGCTCACTGCCGAGCAGGGTGAAAATCGCTTGAGGAAACGACAACGGCTCGTCGAGGATTTCTTTCACGCTCTCCCACGATGCTCACTCTCGCCACCCGCGAGCCGTCTGTGCTCTCCGCGCATTCATTCACTCTCGACACTACTCTCGCACAGTAGAGAGCCATGGTCGAGGAAATTCCTCGACCGTTATTCACCCTGCTGCCGAGAATGTGCTAGAGTCTGCGTTTCGCTTGTTTCCCACACTTTCTCGCCTGCTTTCTCGCTTCGGGGCCTAGTGTCCTGCGAATTATGTCAGCGGCCAGAAAAAATGGAGACATTCATTATCATTATTTGACAGAGTGCTCCTCTTCCTTTTCCCTCACAGTATCCACTTCTAGCTGTTTTCATTTCCTACAGTAATCACTAAACCCAGGTGATCGCGGAATGTTCCCTAAACTAGTTTTGTGAAGAGAGTAACCAACTAACAACTGCGAATATCATTGTTTCAGGTTGATCCGTCTTATCCCGTGCAGGTAGCAGGCGATCCTGAACGAGCTCACATGTACATGTGCGACGAACTCGATGGAATCGTCTACAAGAAAAGTCAACTTGAACATTTGGTTCTGTTCTTTTTTCCATTTACTACGAACTTTTGCCTAAGTAGACTTTTGGGAAAATTTTTATTCTCAATTTTCTCTAGGAGAAGTTGGCAAACGATCTCGGTGTGCAAATGTTCAACGCGAAAAAAATGAGCTTGTCCGTGGAGGCCGACGGTCAAAGCAGAGTTGGGCTACAAACAAATCATATGCAACATTATTTTCTTTTGTTGACAATTCAAAATCGAAGCAATAAAGGTGTCATTACAAATCGCTGAATGCTAACTATGAACGCGGTTACAAGGAAGTTATTGGCACAGTTGGTGCAAATCGAAATGGAATGCCGTCTAGCTTCAAAAATGTTCACTTTGCACCGTAACAAGGATAGCCTAGACTGTGCCCAATCTTGGGTAGATTCAGAACAACTGGTGAGCAGCGCCTCGCACCACTGCATCACCTCCGTCTCGTCTTGACGGTGTAATTTACTGAAGTTCCTCCAGTGGTGGGTTGTAACTCACTATGGTAAGCCTTCTCTCTTTCACTACTCACAAGTTTTCAACCCTTCTAGGGCCCACTTCCTGAGATCGGCTGTATCTCAAAATCAATAGTGTGGTAACCAGGAAAGGTCAACTGGTCATTCCGGCCATTTGCCACGAGATGCACACCTATATACGCCTATCGGGACACTAAGCTTCAAATCTGCTTTCCTTATTTGTGGAACGCTTTCCAAAAGACTCATCCAGGGGTCGACTCTGCGACCCCGCCAAGTCTTACCTGCAGCGGGGTCAACTGGTGCGGTCATGCTTCACGGGACACGTACGTAATAAATATAAGGGGGTGGCCAAAAAAGACTTTGCCCATGGCGCACATCATCAAACTTTTCATCGCACAGGTGCCGCTGTTGATGAAAGTTTTACGGCAAAATATCCCTTAGATGTCCTCCCATAAGTAGAAGCAGGCCCTCTTCCACTGCCCTCACCGTCCTCAAAATATGACGTCATCTTCCATCACCGTTGAGCTCAAGAAGGCCTAAATAATCGTTCCAGCCTGAAGCTGCTACGAAATTTCTTCAATCGGTTAACTGACGGATTGCTTCCTAGAGACAGTAGCTCTGAATATGCAAGACCCTTCCGACCAGCGTTTCAGATAACGTCGTAAAGGTCCATGATCCGTCCGAAGGACCAGTTGAGCTCGCACAAGGTTCCCATGGCAAATTCTTGTGATGTAATTGGTGCAGAAAGCTATTATGACCTTTACTGGGATGTGCTCTTCAATACTAAGTTGAGAGCAGTCGGCTTGAGTCCTGCATACAGTAGCGGTCAAAAGTTTGGAACTTTTTTGTTTTTGACCTAGCGAAGTCTGCAGACGACGGAATTGCCCCAAATTCACATATGTATCTTATACAAAATCAAGTGTAGAATATGATGGGCAACATAATTTCCTGGAATCAAGCATAACAATCGAAAAATACGAATTTTCAAAAAAAGTGGCGTGTTAACAGTTTTGAAACTCCGATCGATTTCTTTTTTGAGCTCCAAAGCGAATACCGTACAATTCACTCGAATTCACATGAGACGTTAGTAATTTGTTGAGTAGTTGTGTAATTCTACGACGGCTTCGCTTTGTGTTGTCATCGAATTGGTTGAATCATCTTTTTTGGATTCTTAAGTCGAAGACTACACTTTGGAACTAAATCAAATTGGTCGATGGACATCTTTACTGGAATCTGGATTGCACGACATGCGAGCTTCTCCCAGAGGTACACAACTCAACTAGAGTTATAACCTTGTCTTGGTTGCTTCATAGCGCGCGACCCTCGCAAAATCGGTAAGCCCCTCCCACTTCGAAGGCGTTAGACGCCTTCCAACGACTTCCCAAAGGTGAGTTTTCAAATAAGTGACACTTCCTATGTACTTGACTAGGGGTAGTGAGTTTTCCACCTCTTAGAATCGAATGGTTGAAACCCTGCTCGGACTGCTGCTTTAAACAGCCGTACTAACCAACTGACCTTTCCTTGCACTAGTACATTCAAATGGTCCTGTGATTCTGAGTGAACTTCGAAATCGTCGCGTAACCCCGACTTCGATCGATGTCAACTATTTCATTGTTTTGCTACGAACGTTCGGATTAGCACCGCTACAAAATCAACACCAACAGACAAGACAGGAGCCCCATTGATGTGCACGCAGCGGTATTACAACCGACTCTTCTAACAAACACAAGGCTACAGAGAGCGTTCTTCCAGGTTCCATCCTACGAAAAAGTGGTACTACCACTGCATTTCATAAAAAGCATACTGGAATTCTACACAAATGGATCACGTAGTGGACCAATGTGTTGAGATTACGCACACACTTTCTCGTTTCTTTTCTGACTAGCTGCATAGAAGTTTCCTACAGTATGCACGATCACTTTGGTGTGACTGTTGCACTTGAAAAAAATAGAGCTGTCATGTGGACCGTTGACTGAAGATAATAAGGAAAATCTGCCGGGAATATAAAATATAAGGAACTTCCAGCGATAGCGGTCCAAAGACAAAAAAGTGGGCGATAACCCGTCACAGTTTACGGGGGGGGGGGGGGAAGATGAGGCGCAGACACCACACAACGCTGACCGTTGGATCGTGAGTAACCCTTAAGGTGCCCTATGCTAACGCTTAGCCGAATGAGATATTCATGTACGGGAGATTGAGATCAGCGATTTATAGATTTGACGACTCAGATATTCCTCTGGTAGGCGAAAGATTAAACACGAATTGGCTTCTAAAGAATCCAATCTATGGACCTTTTCGGCGATTCGGTGACTCTCCTTATCGATATGTATATATTCGCCTCACCGGAATCGCCAAATTTCCGGACCACTGAAGTTCCCAAATCGCGAGCCATGAACGCCACTATAAGCCTCGAGGTCATATTCATGTTTCCTACGACATGTCTAATATCCCTAGTCGATCCTGGGGTGATAAAAACTTGCAGTTAGGAAGGACTCATGATGTAAATGGATCGGAAACGAGCCGGCTTCAAAAGCATATTACGGAAAACGTAGTAGGGTACGGAACCTCTACTTGAGCAAGAGGGACTCCGCGCAAGGAGTTTCTCCGTGAGAGGATGTTGAGAAAGATGTCGGGGATTCCTTTTAAGCCCGGGAACCCCTAGGAGGCCCGTCGCGCGGCAAGAAGGCAAAGTCAGCGGACGAGTCGCGCGCGTACTATAGGGATTTCGCGTCAAGTTAAATAGAGTGTCCCACTGCACCTACATCGGCACACCCACGCGCTGCAACTCGTCCGCCGACTCTGCCTTCTTGCCGCGCGACGGGCTTCCTGGGGGCTACCCTTTAAGCCCGGACACTCCCAGAGTGAACGTCATCGTGATTGTGTCTGCGTCTCAGTCTAGTGCATGCCTTCTCTTTATTGTACTTTCGGTGCCTGCTCCCTCATTTCTCCCGTCTCGGAGGGCAGTATCTTAATCAAATAAATTCAATGATTTTTTTTGCTTGTTTTCCGCTAGTGTTTAGCATCTTCGTGTTTCGACTACATGTTACACTATAGTGATCAGTGCGCTTCATTTAGATTGGTTGACGGCTGCGTATCATGTGGCTACGTACGCGTTTTCCCACGGCTTATTTTCGAATTGGCTTTTGATAAAACGATATGATAGGGTCTCTTCTATGATTGGTTTTAGTTCTTCTTTACCACACGGGGTGGCCGCCTCCCAGGTCGCTCTTGGTTGTGTCAATGCGTCTGCTCCTCTTATCCTGCACTTCATTCGTTTGTGAGTTTCTTGGCGCACGAGCACCATTGTCTGCCCTCTGGAGCCGTTGCAGCTGTGATTTGCCTGGAAACAGGCTCATTGTAATGTATTGGTTAAATTGTTTTGTTTGTTAATAAACTTTGTGTTTTACATTGGACTTCAACTGCACATTTGTGTTCACACACGGAAGCAACTTACATCAAAGCCCGTTCAGAACAATAACTCCTTCACGCATCCGGATTTGACCCAAAGCAGCCGTAATTGTTTACGAGTGCAATACCCTGAAGTGAACACCAGCAAGCCCTCGTGTGCTTTTCGACCGAGCAAGCAGTGAAGTTGAAAGCATTGACATCCAATCGTCACTTATCAGGCATTATCGGTCGTTATCACTATTCCGCCATCCATCATCCATGTCCCCGTCCGGCCCTCTATATTACTTGCAGAGTCAACGATCAACTATCGCTAGGAGAAACGCAGCAAAGTTGAGAACACTGGCATTCAATGGTTACTTATTTATCGAACGTGATCAGACCTCGTCAAGTTTCCGCCACACACCATCCATGTTCCCGTTTGGCCCTCTATACTATTTATAAAAGCCAGCGATCGTCTCTCCCATGAGCGAAATTGAACACCAGCTAGCCCTCGTAAGTGCGTTTTTGACCGAGCACTCTTCAAAATACATCTGCGATCTGACATGGAGATGCATGGTATATTCCAGCAGTACCCAACAATTTTGATCACATATATATTGGGGTACCCCCAGGAGGCCCGTCGCGCGGCAAGAAGGCAGAGTCGGCGGACGAGTTGCAGCGCGTGGTGTGCGATGTAGGACGTGCAGTGGGACACTCTATTTAACTTGACGCGAAATCCCTATAGTACGCGCGCGACTCGTCCGCTGACTTTGCCTTCTTGCCTTATAGCAACTTCGTTTTGACTTTTGCTGATCCTTAAAGGAATCTTGCGCGGAAAATTCTTGCATTCTTTCTTGACATGGATGTGTCAGTTGTGATCACTGGAAACAGCACGCAAAGTTTCACGCATGAAGATTCGGTTTCTGAAGAGAAACAAACGTCCAAAAACTACACGTATGGACATCGAAGGTAATTCGGGCGGAGCCAAACGAGACATGGAAAGAAGTTGGCCTTTAGCCGGCTACGTATCAGGCGACGCAATGACGGAATCCGGGTAAAGTGATCGATTTTGGAGAATAGAGGCAAACAATCGATAGAGTATGATGCAGTAGAAGTGTAAGATGTGAATGCAATAAAGCAGAAAGCCAGAAAGAGTTTCTAGTGAAGGCACTCCAAGAACCAAGTGGAAGCATCCCCGTCGCCAGCATTTGTGAAAGACGTCCGTGGGCACTTTGAACGCGTAGCAGCCCTTTCGATTTTTGAATTTTTTACCAGAACGAAAGCAATATTTCTGTTCTTTCCATTCTTATCGTGGATAATGAGTCTCAAGTCAGTGATTTATGGCCCAAATAAAAGCATGATTTTTCCGCGAAGGATTCCTTTAACTGCCTGTGTTTG